TGCCCTTACCTCAGCTTTAATTTCTGTCTTTGAACTCACTCACTATAGATCTTTCTTGAATATTAATAACTTGAGAGAATGTGTGTCACTCCAGCTGGTAGAAGGATATAAAGAAGTTTTATCTTCTCTATAGCATCTTGAAGCATTTTCACTTCTAATGCAAGTAGATTCAGAGTTTTGGTGAAGGAGAACAATAATACTATGGAATACACAAGGAATTTTTTTTTACTGTCTCACTGTGCTGTGGTGTTTCTCTTCCTTGTGTTGTCTTGAAGGTTTTTGCTTCTTTTGAATTTTTAACTGGAAATGGTTAGAAATGTGTCAGTTAATGTTATGCAGTTGAACTATGAGCTATAAAGATAATGTAATTAATTGCAGGTAAGAATTCATCTCCAACAGTGAGACCTAGAAATGTGGGCTTGTAACTTACTCTGTACTGTAATGCAAACTAAACTCTGGGAACTTCCTGAGCAGTGGAATCTAAATATTGGTTTTTGTCTAGTTTTCAAAGTTTGTGAAAAAAAGACCTAATTTGTACTCAATTACAAATGTCTGTCTATCTATGTGATGTATACTCATATATTTTGGTTAGGGAGGATTTTTCTGGTCAGGTCTGTTCTAGGAACTGCTGAATTCAGTGTGTGTCTGGAACAGACATAACCTCTTTTACAACCAGCTGTTCATCCTTGATTTTTACAGAAGCTTCCTGTGATTGCTTTTATTCTGTAAAAATGTTATCTCTGTAACCTGCAATATTGTATGAAATTTTTTTTTTGGTATTTTGGGACATTTAGGTGCATGTGTGTTGTGTTGTTGCTGAGATCTGACTGTTCAGCTCCAGATCATTCTTGAGAAGTCCCTGTGCTGTGGCCGAGGAATATGTAACAACTAGCAGCAACAGTATGTAGTGTGCAAACATTTGCTTCCTGATCAGCTCTTGATTTTGGAAGCTCAGTGTTCATATTGCCATAAAAACAGAGCCCTGCTCCTGCTGGGAGCGATGAGGGCAGCGCTGTTGGTGGCAGTTGAAATGCAGGTTCAATAGAAGTGCCACTTCAAGCTTGTTTGGAGGTGGTTTTGGTACACAAACCAAAAATGCTCAAGGCTGTTTTAATTCAGTGATAAATTTTGAGGAGGATTTAGAGGTGAAATTTGAGGCTGTGACCGATCTTGTCCATCTGTTCCTCTCCAACTTGCTTCTTGTGCTCTGCTGCGCAAGTTGTGGTTTGAGAGTAACTAATGCTGAGGGCTGTTTGGCTGTGGATCATGATACACCATGTAGCCTTAGAATGCTTATAGAAATAATTCAATACTTCATAATATATTGAGGTAATAGATCACATTGCAATATGTAATCTAAAAATGTTTAAAATCTCTCTCTCTTACTGACCTTAAGTATCCCCTTTTATTGGAAAATAATTTATGATTGTGGGGGTTTTAATCTTACTTTTACACTATCTAAATGACAGAAAACAGTGTGACCAGAGACCAATCCTTCCCCCCAAATTTGTCCTGGCATTTACTCTGTTTCTGTGGGTGTGGAACAAGCATATGTGATTTGCATTTTTTAATACATCCTTTTTTCATGCTGTATTTCACTGAAGTCTGTTTGCTCTAGTGAAGCATTTATGTGGAGGTGCTTTTAAAATATCAGCCTGAGAGAAGTCATTGTGGGGCAAGTCCAAGTCATTCCTACTGCTGAATTTTTTGGTGCATTCTATCATTACTATATTTACATTAAAAATTCCAGTGTAGTGTTTGCAATTAATTTTATGCATTCTGCACAGCAGAACAAATAACAGCATCAAACAATAATTAATTGTGAAATCATTAAGTGGTGGTGTTTATTTGACTGATGGTCCAGCTGAAATGTGTCTAAACTTGTTAGGATTCTCTTGCTCATTAACAATCTGAACTACATGGTATAGACTGAAACATTTATTAAGTATGTTACTTATTTTTCAGAATAGTAGACTGATACTTTTTTAGCTGAGTATGGAACAAAAAGAATCAAGAATGCTCCAAGTTTTTGGTACATTTAAAAATGGGAATCTATCGATGTATATAAAAAACTAACAAAAAGTGAGTCTTTAATTATAGACTGATTGGTCTTGCACTTGAATGTGTGTGTTGACTGAAAATAAATGCATAGAAGACTTCTTGAACCTATTTTAGACTCTCTGAACAGTGAAGGTGTTGCATTAGGTGGCAACAGCTAAGATTCTGTGACAACATGAATGTCAAGCCCACTTTTTAAAATTTATGTCACTGCTCTGCCTGCATCGCACTTGTGCATTCATGTGACCCGGCTTTAATTTAACATTTGGTAAATATTTGCATAGTAATTCCTAAAGTGTTCTCCCACACATAAAGGAAATGATGATAAACAGCTTTTAAGTGGCTTGATGTTAAACACAAACATGACTTGCAGCCCTAAGGTAAAAGGCGCTTTAGAGTAACTGTTCAATATTCATTTGGCAAGTGCTGGTTTGCATTACACCAGGTAACTTACTCATACCTCTTCTTTACATATTTAGATGTTTGGTTTATACCTCAGTTGAGGGTTATGGATTGTGCTGTAGGAGAACTTCTCCCCACTTGTAATATTAGGATTTTTTTGGAACCACAGATGTGTTTTCTTCAAGATGACCCTTCTACAGGAGAGCATTTAGGAGCTGAGACAGATGGTTACCATACCTGAGCTTCCAGGCTGCTCTTAGTGTTTTATTTTTACAAGGGACCCATTTTTTTTTTTTTTTAAAGTAGTTGTTTCTTTTTAAGTATATGAACTTTCAGTGATGATGGTTAAGAAGGTACTGTGAGGAATCGTTCTAGACATGTCATTCACTAGAATAGGACTTTAATCTCAAGCTAGAAAAAGCTAAAAACCCAACAAACAGTTAAAGCCCTAGAAACTTGTCCTAGCATTTTAGAATACAGTTCTCTTTTTTTGCTTTATATTTCATAGTTTTTTCAGCAAATACCTTCTCAGTAAATATGTCCCTAATCTCTTCCCTGACTAAAAATGGGGTGTCATCTTGTCCTGCATTGATTGTAAACTGAGAAATCCAGCATTTTCTGCTGTCAACAGGTAAGAAGTGTTATATCATTGAAGCAAACAAATGTGATCTGGGACCGAGCCTTCCCATGTGTACCTCTACAACAACCTGTCACCTCTGTTACTGCTCTTACTGGGTTCTGACTTGCTGGCCATTCAGAACATACCCTGCAAGCAGAAAAGCTGTCACTTGGGCAAGAACTGCAGGGATGTCCTTTATGAAGTGCAAAGTTACTTTGGACATGCAGTCTCCTGCCAAGGAGTTTTAAAGCACATGGAAACCTGAGGTGTTCTTGACACTCTTTTGGTTGTTGTATCTTAGTAAAACATAAGAAACTTAAAGTAAGACCATTCTTTTTCTTAGCAAGTTTCATCTTCTCTGGCAATGATTCTACCTTGGATGTACCACAGTTATGTGTTTTTGGACCTGTTCTAGTCCTTCTGAGCTCTAAATAATGTGTAGAACATGAGTCTGTATGTGCATGTGGATGAAATGCTGTTTGGGACTTTAGATACTCGACTCTTAAATCTGCAGGTGGATAATGGCTTGTTTTATGTGGTGAGTTATCAAAAACATCAGTGTTTCATTTAGTGAAGCTGTCTAGACTCTTGGTGGGAGTAAAGAAACACAGAAGAAATTGATACATAGATTTTAGGGAGTTTTTTTGAATAGACACTTTGTATCCAATGCATGACAGTGTTTGGAGTTCATCCAAAAACCAGAAAATGTTCTCTGACTTTGAAATTTCTTTGGAATGGGTGAGTGATTTTGCTGGTCAGATGTTACTTGTTACTTCTGCGACTGTCCAGAGGGAATTTCTTCCACCCAGGCTATCTAGTGGTAATTACTATTTGCCTCATCAAGCAAATCTAAAAAGCTCCCTGTCTCCAGCATGTGTTTAACTTTCAGGGTTGAAGTTCATGTAGGTTTATAGAAACCAGTTTCACATTTGTATTTCTCAAACAGTGAGTGTTCAGTCTTGCTGTAGCCTATGGAAGTTATTGTAGCTGGGGAGTCCTTGGGAACAAAAGATCACGGTGTGTTCATACTGTGTGTTCCTGAGTCAGAGTATGTGTGGGGGCAGTACCTAAACCATTCACAGGTATTTTTCTTTGAAGGAAACGGAATCCTGTTCTGGTTTAGTTCTTGTATTTCAGTGTGAATTGTCGTTCTTGTCACTTAAAAAATCTTTGATTGGCCACACTTGCTCCGAAAGGTCGGTGAGGAATGGCATCTACCTCTCTGATGTAGAGACCTTCTCTTGATGTAGCCACTAACAAGAGTCATTAAATTGCTGTATTTGTTGTAGTCCAAAGTAAGATAAGGTTAAGAATTTGTTCAGTTTGACACAGTTCAGGGTGGCTGTGTGTCTTGGGCTTGTGTCCTGCCAATTTACAACATTCTGTTGAGACAATAGAGCTCTTATAGACATTCTTTGTTTCTGTTTCAGTGACACATCTGGGTTGGAGCGGCTGCTCAATCACAAGTAGAAGTAAACATTGAAAGCAAAATATTCTAATTAGCTGTTTATTTTTTAACTTCAGCTTTATTCTGTCAGGAATAGTGCATGTCCATCTATATATATATATATATTAATTTATTTATGTGTTTGTGCTGATAATAACAAAAATATTCCAACTGCAAAGTAGTGTAACACCAAGGAAAGTTATTTTCTATTAAGTTCTTTTAAATTACCTATTTAAATAAAGCAAGAAATGATAAGGAAATGAAAAGGTATGTTTTGAAGGTCTTTTGCACAGTGTTCTCTAGGTAGTGTGATGCAGTTTCCATTCGCTCTCAGTTTCGAGTAGTGGCTCCGAGCTTCTGCCTCCTCACTGTGGAGGGAAATAGGTGGGAAGCAAGTGGGATACAAAGCTGCTTTGTCCAATAGCACTGAAATCACACAAGGTTAGGTTAAAAAGTCTTGTATTTGTCTTGCAGGATCCAACTTCCTGGGTAAATATTCACCACCTGGAGTATACAGATGGAGGAATCCTGGACCCAGATGATGTGCTGGCAGATGTTGTGGAAGACAAAGATAAGGTAGAGTTTGGATGAAAATACTACTTTTGCTTTTTGATGTGTCTTTTCAAACAAGTAATGCTACTTTCTCATTTCTTGGACATCTGGCAGGTGAAATGGTAAATAGGTGTTAAGTATTTTTAAACACATCTGTCCATAGGTGCTATATTTCTCTGCCTCTGGAGTAGAAGGGGGGAGCAGGAAGCACGTCCAAAGCAGTGAAGATAATAAGACAAGCCTAGCATTTCATTTAGAACTTGACCTTTTCAAGCAGTTTTGTTTCTTTTTATGCCTGTATTAAAATAGAATGGTGAATGAATGTGAGTTTTGCAAGGCATTTTCTGTGCCACTTAAAATATCTTTTGTCATCTCTTCCTTTGCACTGAATCAAGTTTTTGAGAATCATTCAAATGTCATGGTTGAATGTGACAAAATAAACTGACAAATCCTGTGATGACAAGAACAGCTGTTTCAGCTGTGTTGAATTTCAGGAGGAGTTCCTATGATTTGCTACTGAAAGTCTAAGCAGGCCAGTTATTCATTTTAAAAGCTATGAGTCTCTAACTTTCAATTCAAATTAAGTAGATTTCTTTTCTAGGTGGAGAAGTAGTAGCTGCAAAGAAGCCCCTTTTAATTTTTTTGGTAATTACAGAAAAATTTAGTTTTGGGAAACTAATTGGTGACTTATTTCAGCACATAGGAGAAGGGACATAACTTATAAAACTTTGCTGATTCTATTTATTTTCTTCATAGAATCAGAGGAAAAATATCTAGTGGCTTGAAACTTAAGATCCAAATATGGGATATGCTGTGCTTTTAAACAAATAGCTTTGTCTATTTAAAGTGCCAGATGCTTTATGACTTAAAAAATAATTCTCTGTGTTGCAAACAGAATTGCTAGTTTTGTATGCTGTTGATTCTTCAATGAATACAAAGTGCAACATTTTACTTATGATTAAGGGGATGCTGTTTCTCAATACCTTAGAAAATAGTCTAAGGTGTACTTAGCTGTCATTTTATAGCAGTTTGTGGGGAATTCTTAAAAACAATGGATCTCTATTAGATATATATTCTTTTTATCATACCTGTGTTTCTTGCTTGTCCATATTTACTGAAAGTAAACTTAAAACACCATAGGACTTTTTTTCCCAGAGGTGTTTGGAGACCAAAAGACTGGGTTCTGAACTTGACACAGGCGTGTATGAAGGATAAGACCATAAGCATAAGGTGTCATAAAATGAGTTATAGCATCAAAGGGAAATGGATTACTGGTCTCACCAGTTAATGAAAATTAGCACAACCACCCAGGATTTTCTCTGTTTGAAGTACTGATGGAGGAACACTTATGCAAATATGAGCATTAATTTTCAGAATATTTGCCATGCCATCTAGTTTTGAACTTGTGACCAGAGCCTTTGCTGTCCTTCGTTGGTGGGTGTCACTGGTTGAGTGTGTGTTGCTGATGAAGCTTCATGTTCACACATAGCTGCAGGTTTAAGCTTCTTCAGTTCCAACAGTGCTAGGTGAGACTAGTTCTAAGGCTGTCTTGAGGAAAACCCACTGGAAAACTGGGATCTTACTCTCTGAAGTAATCTGAGGTGTTTTAGGAATATAGCAAGCTCCTCAGTTTCTCTTCACTATCACCTTGTCTTCTTCAGAATGGGTTGGTGAAACAGGGATAAGGGAGAATTGCTGAACAGCAGCAGCTGCAGTGACAAATCAGATTTTTTAAGTAGGGGAGAATGATGTAAGGGATCTGCTGGTTTGAGAGGTCAAAGAATGCTTTCCTTTGAGAGTGGAATTGCACCACAGCGTGTGAAAGGAGCTGTCCAGCTACCTGCTTGCAAGGTTTGGTTTGATCTGATAACAAAGAACCAGACCCATAAAAAGCTTACAAATAGTTTTGATAGTTTCATTGTGGCCTGTTGGCCTTTGAGCCTTCACCAGTGTTATATCACACTGAGAATCTCAACTAGGGGATCTTTAAGCTTTTCAAAGAAGGGGTGGAGATATTCAGGTCGAACTGACCTGCAAACTTGTTTAAAATCCCTGAACAGATGAAGGAATTTTTGGTACATTTATCTGTGCACTGCTTCTCTTTGGTTATGATTATCTGTGTGTGTGATAAATGAATAGACCACAGCTTTGTTGCTCTCTTGTCCTTGTCATCCTTCTCTGTGCATCCAAGCCAATAAATTTCCCATTAAATCAGTCACTCTCTATAAAAATAAGCATTGCACTTAACCTCAGTGCCTTTAACTGAAGGTGTGCTTGGCATTGCTGACCATCTGGATCTTCTTCAGTAGCAGAGGAAAGCTGATGCTTTTTTTAAGGGATATAATCTGCTCTAGATTGTGCTTTGATAGCAGTAAATTAACACAGCTTCTTCAGAGGAAAATGTCCTTGTAATCTATTGATTTATTTTGCTGTGACAACAAAACAGTGAGAGCAATATCAGATATAATTTGTTTGGAATTTCAGAAGCTTCTGACAGTCCTTAACAATAGACTGTTAAGGAGGCACAACTACTCACGAGGTAAGCAGCAAGTGCTGCAGTGGGTTAGTGAACGATTGAGAGGGAACAAAAAGATGGAATAAATGGTCTGTTTCCAACACTGAAATGAAGGCAGTGGGATGTGCAGTGCCCATTATTAGCAGTGGCAGTGGTTTTGAGGTCTGCTTATGTTAACTTCATGACTTCCTCTTGGACTCAAAATTAATCAAAGTTCAGCAAGTAGGCAGTGCAGTGGATGATGTTAGTAGTTATTAACTGCACAGTTAAGCATGTTGGAGAGAGTGGCTTGCTTTATTTGCATATAAAACAGGTCTAAATTAGTATTATATTTGCTTGGTAATGTGTCATGTGAGAATGCTTCGGAAATTCTCTTTGCTGAGAGTCCCTCTTGCTGCTGCTGCTTCAACAATAATCTGTGGCCTGAGTTGGATGTCAAAGGCAGTTGACGCAATTTTGTAGAGTAGCTTTAAAATAGTTGGTTTTCACTGGGTTATCTAGCAATTGGTTTGTGTCCTGATAGTCTGAATCACGGATTGATTAAAACCCCCACATTTTGTTAGCTGAATAAAAACATGCTGTTTAAATTATCTGATTCTGATGTGTTGAAGCTATAAATGGAGTCCTCTTCATATGCTGCTCTTAACAGATCTTTCACTTGGAATGTCTTTTCTTGAGGAAGAAAATGTCCTGAGAAAATAACTTTGCTGTGCAAAAGATGGAGTAAAAAGTGTTTCCCTTCATATCACTGTGCTTGGCACATGTCTTAAAGGCATAAACTTAATGAACCATCTAGATTCCCTCTGATTTTTATATGGAGTCATGTATTAAATACTCACAAATACCTGGGGAGACTAAAAGGATGTCACGAAGGTCTGTGTTAAGCTAAAACTTGCTTAGCTTATAGGAAAAGTTTTTCCTAGACAGAACAGTTCTGCTTTCTGAATATATATAGAAGTCTACAGGGAAAATATGTTATCACACTTTTTATGTATATATATGTTCATAATTTGACAGGATTAAATACAAGCAAAATATGTTTAAGGGTATGCCTTTATCAGCAGAGCCCTTCTGAATTGGTAATGGTCTGCTCTTGGATGCTGGGTTGTTTTTGTTTGTCCAGGTTGTTTTGGTTTTATTTTGGGATTTTTTTTTCTGGATGTTGTTGTTGTTGTTTTTTTGTTTTGTTTTTTTTTGTTTTTGTGGCTTGCTGTTTGGTGTTTTTTTCGGGGGTTGTTTTGTAAGATTGCGCTTGCAAGGACAGTACTGCAGTAGTTACCATTTGTCCATCAAAGCTGCTGAACGTTTGTGTAAAGATGCATTTTCTGATCAGTGCTGCTGGCAAAAGATGTCGGCTTGTCATCCTAGAAGGGTTTGTTTTTTTTTTTAGGAGCGGAAGAAAAAAAAAAGACTGATTGTGATGGGCACTGTGCTGACACTGAAATAGCAGGATGCCAATATGATCTTGGACATCCGTGTTTGATTGGGAATCTCCTTTGTTAAATATAGGTGGCTTGTGTTTTTTAACAGCAGCAGAAGCTTTTAAAGGACATGAAGCAACATCACTGAAATGCTGAAACAGTGACACTGTTTCAAGATTTGTAGTGACTGTAACTGTCATTTAAGTGTTTGTAATGGTGATATCAAGTAAATGGTATGAATTAAGTGTAGTTCAGATACCTATTTTAGCTAAGCATTTAATGAAATATTAAACAGCACAATCACTGAATTCTTTCATCTCAGTTCACTATGAGCAGGAGTATGGTATCGAGAACACATGTCTCCTGGATGGTCTCCAAATGCTAGAGAAATCAGCTGCTGCCTGTTCAAAATGGTTATTGGGCCCATGCATGTCCTGGTAGGAAGCTCAGGGTCTGGCTGACGTTTTTATAGAGGATCCTCAGTAACTCTTTGAAGCCTCACTTCAGACAGAGGACTACAGGCAACCTCAGTTTCACTGATGGTATTGCGAGTGTGAGGCTGCTTTGGAGAAGCTGTTTCAGCAAAGCAATAAAAGTGAAGCAGGTGTGAACTTCAAGACTGATGTAATTATACAAAGGAAATGTCTTTCTGGGTACATGACAGGCATGTTTTCTGTCAGTGCATTCTGAACTTTTCTGTTGTCTCCAGGCAGGTTAGCCACTGGGAGTAATGGCTGGCTGGGATGAGCACAGAGCAGTTATTTTCTGACCTGGGTTTGACTCCGTAGACCTTCAGAGTTGTCATTTTGACTGTGAAAGTGATGGCGCACTCTAATGTGCAGTGTGTATTTAAATTAAGTTGTATTGAGCTAATTCCACCTTTGAACAGTTTCTGTTGTATTCAACCATCAAATTCCTCATGAAATGGAGAAGGAAATCAGAGCTGAAGTAACCTTTAGGTAAATACAGAAACTGTGACTGTAGAGTAGGAGGTGATAATGAAAATTTCTGCCTCAAGTTGAAAAACGTCAATTAAGTCAGAATGAAAAGGAGGCTAGTGGGCAGAAATATCTTGGTAGTTTGAAAAA